TAAAATTTAAATAAAATATAAAAGTCATTTAATCATAAAAACTAAGTTATATATTGATTTAAAGAAACTTTAATTTAATAATTATAGTTATGTTTATATTTATAGTTAGAGAAAAAACATTGATCAACAAAGATTATATATAAGTATGCTATAAACTTATATATATTATAAGAAATAAGTTAATAATTATAGTTATGTTCATATTTATAGTTACAGAAAAAATATTGATCAACAAAGATTATTTATAAGTATGCTATAAACTTATATATGTTATAAGAAATAAACAAAAATATATATCTTTATGGTTAGAATTCAATGTCTAAGTAAACAGAATTGTAGAAAGCATTTTCAACATAATTTTCGAATAGAAAATGGACAAAGTTTTGAATACAACACTTACACTAAAGAATAGAGAGAGAGAGAGAAAGAGAGAAAGAGAGAGAGAGAGAGAGAGAGTAACAAAGATTAAGTTAATATAAATAAAATTTATCTTAATAGTTGTAGTTATGTCATATTTATAGTTAGAGAAAAAGTTAATTTTATTTTGTCAACAAATATTAATTAAAAAGCTATAAACTTATACAGGTTATAATAAAGAAACAACAACATACATTTTTATTTTCATGGTTAGAATTCAATGTCTAAGCGAATGAGATTCCAAATTTTAGAGAGCATATTGAACAAATTTTTTGAATATAAATAGAAAAAGTTTCATAAAAAATTCGACAACACTTACACAAAAGAAAACAAGTTCAAAAAGTCAAGAGAAAAAAAATTATAGAAAAGATGGCAAAAGTTAAATAAAAATTACGTCAATTTTTTCGTATGTTACATTTATGAGAGAAAGAAAATAAAACTTTTATGAAAAAGATTAATATAATGCAAATTATATTTAAAAATTATTAGCCATTTATGAAGAAAGATTAATGTTTTATGAATAAACGTTCGATTTAAACTTAAAAATAGAAAAATGTAAGTATAATATTTAAGATATTTTTTTAGATCTAAAGTTATCAAATAAGACCAATATTAAATATGTAACTATTTAAATTTTATTCTTAAATATGTATATTCAAATTTTGATATTAAATATTATTTATAAATCTAATATAAAAATATTAATAACTAAATAATATAATATATATACATATTTAATATTAGTGTAAAATTCCGCGCGTACTGCAGATCCCACACTAATACACTCCTTTTTCACACTCTAGTAATTACTAAAGATCAAAACAAAAGTAGAGATCTCGTATACAATAAGGATCAACATAGGAGTGACAAAGATATTCAATTTTGAAAAAGATCATACAGATTTATTTTTTCTTTTGAAGGATCAAGATTATACAAATATTTCAAACGATTGTTAACGTATTTTTTTTATGCAAGTAAACAAATGATAGATTTTCTTGTTAATCCCAAAAGCAATTGTAGATAAACATATCAAAGTTATTGTCCAAACATTTTTATTAATGGCACAACAATAAGTATGAAAATCCATATCATCGAATAATGTATCTCACCTTCACATTAGTTTAAAGAAACTTTAATTTGATCATTTTAGTTTTGTCAAATTTATTTATATAATTCAGAAAATATTTATTTCTAAATGCATATACATACATCAAAAAGTTTATTAATAATTTTAACTATTTACATATTTCTCTATAAATTATTAGTAAAAATATTTATTTTATTTAATTTACTTGGTAGATATGAATAGAAAATAAAAACAAAATTAAAAATAGTCAAATTTAGATCCAATTTTCTCAAATACGTAAAATAACTTCTTGAATCTAAATTAATTTCAGAAAGTCAAAATATTACAAACAAATTAAAGTATTAACAGATAATAACATCATTAACTTATTCCAAAACTTTGAGTTCTAAAATAACAGCATATGTTATGACACTAATTTGAACAATTTATGTTGTTTAATCTATTAAAAGAAAATTATAAATATCTATTTAGCCTTATAATTGTAAAGTTTAGTGTTTATACCAGGTCAAAATATTGTAAAAGTTAAGTTAAAACCTGGAAAAAAATGTCATCTCTAACTCAATATGTTGTGTTTATAAAAAAAGAAAGAAAATAGAGTTAATATATTACATAAATTTATAATCTAAAATAACAACATCTATTATACTAATAATTTGAAGAACTATGATGTTTAGTCCATTAAAAGACTAATATGGATAGCTATTTATTTACGTAGTTTTTATAGTTGTAAATTTTAGTGTTTATACCAGACCAAAATGTTGTGGAGGTTAAGTTACAATCGGGCCAAAATATTATCTATAATTCAATATATTGTATTTTTGAGAAAGAAATAAATAAGAAGAGAGATACAGATAAAGAGAGAAAGAGAGAGAGAGTGTGTGAGGAGAGAGAGCGAGAGAGAGAGGGAGAGAGAGCACAAAAGAGGGAGGGGAAGTAAGATTCAGAGAGTATAATATATAAAAATATTTATGAAATGAGATCAATATTGTTAGTTATAATTTTTGAAAAAAAACATTAGATGTTTATAAAAAAATATTAATGTCGGATAAATGAACATCAGACTAAAATTTAGAAAAAGAGGAATATAATTATATTGTTTAATATAATTTTTTGGATTGAAAATTAATATTTTAACGAAGATGGAATATGTAACTATTTAAATTTTATATATGATTATAATTTTTTGAAACTTAAATATGTAATAAATTATATAAAACAAATGTTTTATTTTTATTTAATATTTATATATATTTTTATTGTATAGATTAAGTTTTATATTATTAACCACAAACTGTTAATAGTTAAATAAATAAAAATTTAAAATTATTAAAAGTTTTTTTTAACTATACTATTAAACAGTAAATAAAATTCTGTGCGAAACGCGGATCTCGCTAATACTCTAAGAAATATACGAGGAGGCATAAAGAGTACAAGTTGGTACGAAATCTTGTGTTATTCATTCAATTTGTACTTTTTTTTTCTTTTCCGTCTATCTTAGAGTTTTTTTTCCATTTTTAAATCAAAACAGATTTTTATCACTTTCATTTTGGATTCGACAATGACGTTTCCTTTCTCTCTACCACTTGACTTTACAACAATAACACACAAAAAGTGTTACACGGTGATAAAAATTCCCAATCACGGGCACAACAACTATCACTCTAGTAGGCATTTACTCGGCGGAACAAAGTGTTCTCCCTCGATCATGCTGTTTGCTGGAGCTGGTTAACTCAATATTGGTCAGTTACCTCCTCCTTGAGAGGGGTTTCAGATCTGCCGACCCGATTCCTTTTTGGTGTGGTGATCCCTCTCCTATTATACTAACAGTCTCCTCGTCATGTCCTCTCCATCCGGCGCGCCAGGGGAGCAGGTGGGATGATGATTCTTACGTGTTTGGGGAAGCTTGCCAACTGCTCGGGAAACAATGTGCGGAAGTGGTTCGGCCGAGCTAGTGTGACGTGTGTCAGTCTCTAGAGTAGTTTAGTGTCCACGTGTCGGGCCTCCTTTGGGCCTTGTAAACTAGGTTCCAACACATTCAATTTATTGACATCCTAGAAACAAATATTTTTTATTAATTAGATTCTCTTAAAACTTAAAATAAGATTCAAAACAAATTGCATTGGTAAACTATAAATAGCCTGAATGGAATTTTTTTCTTTCTTAATCTTCATAATATTTTTTATTTTTAAATTTTTTAATCAATTAGTGTAATATAAATAGCCTAAATGAGATTTTTTTTTTCTTAATTTTCATAATTTTTTGTTATTATTTTTCAAATTTTCTATCAAAGATAGACATCAAGATAGTTTTTTCTCTATGAACTTGCATTTACAAAGAAGTTGCATTTTTTCTCTTTTTTCGATAAGAAATTGTTTTCATTTGGTATTAATATATTCATGTTATTTACTTTTATTTGCTACAAAATAAAAAAATTCAAGGTTAGTTACAAATTTCTTAACTAATCAAATTTCACATAAACTTAAATTTTAATATCTTTCAATTAATCTTTCAAGAGACAACGTAAAAACATGGTTGAAGATTAGCAATAAACTTCAAAATTAGATTCTAAGAGCATGAATTGACAATCACTGAGAAAATACATGCATCACACCTTATGAATTTCGCGATATCATGTTTAGTTTCAAAAACATCCTTATACATGTTCATATACTAAAATTAATATATATTATTGCCAAAGAAAAAAAAGAACTATACACAAAAATTATAAAAAAATTGATCGAGCGAGAAGTAGTATTGTTGGCCACTATAATAACCTTCAAATGAGGTAAGTTGTAGTCTTATTAAAGTTTTATTATATAAAAAAAAGTAATAATTATGATAGTAATCTGCTGCTCGAAGAGAGAGTTTATCATTCTATCTACGGTCTTAAAGATGACAAAAAAGAATGAACCATGAAATTGCAGTTGTGTAATTGTGAGAATGACAACATATATTTTAAAAGGTTTTTTTTTTCTATAAGGACAATTTATGAATATAATAGAATAATTTGCACAAGATAATAACTTAAGACATTTCTACCGAAAGATTGTACAAATGAATTCAAACAATATTTATGTATATACATAGTTAACAACTTTGCAATTATATAATCATTATGTATAATATAAAATAATATATTAATCATAACTTTAATATATATAATATAAACCCGCGTGTACACGCATAGCATCATCTAGTTATTAATAAAAAAAAATTTAGAAAGTAAGGAAATTAAATTTTATTTTCTATGAACAATAAAAAAATTAACATATTGTTAGATTATGAAAGAAAAATCATCTAAACTGAATAAAATAACTAAAAACTGTATTTAAGATTATAATTAAATTATTTCAAAATTTAAATCGTGACAAATAATTAAAAATATTAACTGTTAACTTAAAATAGATTAATTGTGGTATGTGTTCAATTTTTTTTATGAAACAAAGCTTGAACGATATAACATCTCCTTCTCCCGCTTGTGAAATTTATCGAAGCAAAAAAACAAGTCTTGACTTTTGGCTTATTCTGTGGTGGTATGGTCCATGAAAAGGGTCTTGTTCCACAAGAACGTAAGTGAGAATTAGAAAAACGTTTTGATAATCTAATTTCTATAGATGTTCAAAGAGTTTGATCTTTCGTTTGTTTCAGTGCCGTCGTGGCTGACAAAGATTACAACAAAAATTCATGAAAGCTCGGATCTTTTCCCTTCTGCTATAAATCATGTCCTCATCAACGAATACCATCCTGACCAAGGGATAATGGTACGTCATCCCTTTCGTATTCAGTGGTTAAAAATTTTCTCTTCTTACTTAAATGGTCTTTTAGTTTTCTGTTAAAGTCCATGATCAAGTTTGTTGCTTCTTCCATTGTTGTCGTTTCCCACAGCCGCACCAAGATGGACCCGCTTATTTTCCTGTAGTTATAGACTTTAGTCCGCATCTAAGATTAAGATCAGGCGATGATGGCATTTCGAGAGATCAAGGTTCGGTTGCTGAGAGTTGTGAGCCTGAGAGAAATAATCATAGCTTATTCTCTGTCTTGATGATGCCTAGAAGCTTACTGATCTTTAAAAATGAAGCATATTCAGGTGAATTCATCATCTATGTAAACTTTAAACACATCTTTAAACTACATAGAGTAAAGTAATCGGGAACATTATTGAACAGTCGGTTTAACTCATATATTTATTTATTTATTTATTTTTTTTTTATGAAAAGGGTTTTCATATTAATTGCATGAGAAGTGTAAAAATATTACAAACCTGTTTGGCTATAGTGAAATACGGGCCAAGCCCAGAACATCAGCAAAACAAGTTTAACTCATATTATCTTGTCTTGTTTTCAGATTTCCTCCATGGCATTAGCGATAGTCCAACACAATGCTACAAGCAGGTGCAATACAAAGCTCTTTTTTATTTGTAAAATAGTAGTTTATTAAATGTGTTATGTTTAAAATCAAATAATTTTTAAAATATAAAATGGTAGTTTATTAGTTATACTTATACCAATCGCTTGAAAAGACTTATTCATTAGTAACATTAAACACTAGTAAAAAAAGAGTATAAGATAAACTGAATAACAGTGAGCATGCATGCAAACTATTAAGAAAGTAACGTCGTGGATGAAGTGCTAAATTGTTAACGGTCAGTGCCGTTTCTGACTTAGTGTCGTCGGTTACCAACGCCACCGCCACCGCCAGCTCCTCCTCCAGCCCTGCCTCCAGCTCCAACTCCTCCTCCGGCTCCAACTCCTGCACCCACATTTGCTCCGCCTCCTACACCACCACCGACTCCTCCACCACCTCCTAAACTACCGCCAAGTCCTCCACCACCTCCTAGACCACCACCAAGTCCCCCACCACCTCCTAGACCACCACCAAGTCCTCCACCACCTCCTAGACCACCACCAAGTCCTCCACCCCCACCGACACCACCTCCAACAGCACCACCTGCATTACCCCCTCTGCCTACTCCACCTCCAACAACGCCTCCACCACCTCCTTCAGCACCACCTCCAACAGCACCACCGGCACCAGCTCCACCTCCAACAACACCACCGGCACCAGCTCCACCTCCGATAACACCTCCACCTCTTCCTCCAACACCACTTCCAACACCACCTCCAACACCACCTCCAACAGCACCACCGGCACCAGCTCCACCTCCAACAACACCACCGACATCAACTCCACCTCCGATAACACCTCCAGCTCCTCTAACACCACCTCCAACAGCACCACCGGCACCACCTCCACCAACTCCACCGCCTATTCCACCTCCAACAGAACCACCGGCTCTTCCACCACCACCTAATCCACCTCCAACAACGCCTCCACCACCTCCTCCAGCACCACCTCCAACACCTCCTCCGACACCACCTCCAGCAGAACCACCGGCACCAGCTCCACCTCGGATAACACCTCCAGCACCTCCAACAGCACCACCGGCAGCACCTCCACCTCCAACACCTCCTCCAATACCACTTCCAGCAGCACCACCTCCACCGCTTACTCCACCTCCAACAGCACCACCAGCACTTCCTCCTCCACCAACTCCACCTCCAACAACGCCTTCGGCACCTTCTCCAGCACCACCTCCTACCACACCACCAACTCCACCTCCAACAATGCCTCCAGCACCTCCTCCAGCAGCACCAACACTACCTCTACCGTCTACTGCACCTCCAACAACACCACCAGCACCACTTCCAACAGCACCACCAGCACCATCTCTAGCATCACCGGCACCACTGGCACCACCGGCACCAGAGCCAACAGAGCCACCAGCACCACCTCCAATAGAGCCAACAGCACCACCTCCACCTCCTACTCCACCTCCTGCTCCTAGACCACCACCAACACCTCCACCAGTAGCCCCACCTACGCTTCCACCAACCGCACCACCTACGCTTCCTCCACCACCGATTACTCCTACTGCTCCAGCTCCAGCTCCACCACTACCACGTCCTCCTCCACCCACAGCACCACCCCCACCAACACCTCCTAGAGCACCACCTCCAATAGCACCCCCGGTGTCACCTCCAGCACTACCTCCAATTGCACCTCCTGCACCACCACCACCTTTTACTCCACCTCCGACTCCTACACTACCTCCAACCACACCAGCACCAGCTCCTCCAACCCCACCTCCAGCTCCTACAACTCCTCCAACACTTCCACCAACTCCTCCGCCTACTCCTCCTCCGCCACCACTAGCTCTTCCACTACCACGTCCAACACCACGTCCCCCTCCACCAATACCGCCACTTTCACCTCCACCACCAACAACTCCTCCTCCAACTCCAATGCCACCACCTACACCTCCACCAACACTACCGCCACCACCTACACCTTCACCAGCACCACTGCCACCACGTCCACCACGGCGTCCACCGCCACAACTTCGTCCACTACCACTAGCACTGCCACTTCCACCTCCTCCACCACCAGCTCCTCCTCCGGCTCCAATACCACCACCTGCACCTCCGCCAGCACTACCATCACCACCTATACCTCCTCCGCCAACTCCACCTCCGACTCCAATGCCACCACTAGCACCACCTCCTGCTCTAATACAACCTCCAGCAGCTCCACCTCCACGAGCACCAACACCGTCTTGTTTATTTTTGTGATGTAGGTTTTTGTTCTTGGTATGATCATCTGTATCAGATAATTTTCCCAACACTTGAGTTGACATCAGAAGCACCATCACACACGCTACTACCCAGCCCCTTCTCACAAACTTCCCCATACTCTTTCTCTTTTTTTTTTTTCTCTCTCTCTCTCTTTTGATATACACACACTAAACTCACAGATATATTCCCAAACAATATAAAACTCGATCAGTACTAGTTATTTTGATTATATCTTGGCGAGAAACCCTATTTATAGCCAAACCCCCCACCAATAGACACATACACGCGTCCTTTAATCATACGTTCATGATAATTAAAGATGAAAAACCACTCAACACTCTTATATCTCGACTCTTATATCTCGAAAACGCGTCTATGCTCCTTGGTCGACATGAATACACAATATAGTCTTCTATAAGCACTAACATATTCATTAAAGCTGATAATGATGATCACTTATAAGAAAGCTCATGCACTCTTTTGCTCAATTCATGTAACAGTAGTTTTTACTTAGTGGAATTATACGTGCCTCTTTTCATTTCTTGCCAATACGCACTTCCATAAACCATCATGCTATTTTTAGTGCCGTATTTTTTTCAGATTTCTATCTCTTAGCTACAAGGTCAAAAGGATTGCTATTAATTATTTACAATGCACACTGCACACACAAGATTTCATATACACAAAGAAACTGCGTTCTTAGGATGGAAATATTTAGTTCAAACAAAAATATATATATTTCTTTAAATTGAAATTTTAGAAAAAAATCATTATAATTATTTTGATGGATTTTATTTGCATCACAAATTGTCTCAAATTTATTTCTGTCATAATATTTTAATAAATTATTAAAAATTAAAATAACAAATACGATATTTATTTAATATAATTTTTCCATAAACATATCCGGATTTCATCATACATGGAGAGAGAAAATTCTATTATACTTGTTTACAACATATTTATTACAGAATTGGTCATCAATTTTTTACAAAATTGCAGCAAATTTGAGATAGACTAAGTATATACCTGCGTTACGCTGCAGATTATTATTTTTATTTATCTTTTATTAATCTAATATCATATTTTGATAAAATGAAAATATATTAAAATAAATATTGTATACATATTATAAGAAATATACAAATTCATATGAAAAATTCTGTTTTAGTTGTGTTTTCAGTCATAGTCACCGTTTATCCAATTCTTACAAGAAATGCATGTAAGGCAACACATACGGTGGAACGTGTTCCTATACAATTCTTCAATTTTATTAATTAGTGTAAAACTTATTTAAATGCTTCTGAGATTAGTTATACACTTTATAGTTAAAGAAATTTATGTGCTATTAACTAAATAAATTCATAAATCCGCTTTTGATTTTTATTATTATGAAGCTGGTTTTTCATGTGACCACAAAGCGAAAGACTGCACCTAACCGAATCTCCTCCCACCAAGACCATACTTCACTGTATTAACCTTACTGTCTTAAACTGGCATCTTGCTAAATTGATACAAAGATTCACTCAAATGACATCCTATTTAATTTTATTATAGTTTTGTATTTTCCAATCTAAAAAATGATCGCTCATCCATCTAGTTGTTTTCCTCCAAAATATGTTCAAAGTATCTAATAATCTACCACTTTTTAATTAGAGACTTTGTGAACCTGTGGGTACACATAAGAATACAATTTAGAATAGTGTCTTAGACTTTAAAGGTTTGAAGCTTAATAGTAAAATCATCTTAACTTTAATTTGTGCCATATCGTTTACAATTTTTGTGTAAATATGAAATTCTTAAAAAAAATATTTGTATTAGATGTTTTGTTATGTTCAAAAGGACATAAATGGTTGAAATGGTGAATTGAGGTCGAATTAAAATACTAATACACACTTGGACGATGATGTAAAATCATATCTAAGTTGTGAACATAAAATGTCAAGATTAAAACTAACTCTCTCATATATTCAGTTTAAACTAAGAATATATTTCTAAACGTAAAAATACCTTTCTAAACGTAAACTATATATTCCTTTTCATTAATAAAAGAACTTTCTATTAATCTATTTTTTAACAAATAGAAATAACCATTGTTCACTCAAGACATGTTCATAAATGTTTGGCATATTTTTTATTAATGACCACGAAGTGCAAGACTACACCTAACTAAATTATTTCCTACCAAGAGCAAAATTCATGGTATTAACCTTACTATTTTAAACTGACGTTCCTTTAAATTGATACAAAGATTCACTCAAATAGCACCCTAGTTAATTTCATCAAAGTTTTATATTTTCCAGCCTAAAAAAATGATTGCTCACCCATCTAGTTGTTTTTCTCTAAAACATGTCCAAAGCATCTAGTGATCTACCATTTCTTGATTAGAGTCTTTTTACCCTATAGATACGAATATGAATATATTATTCAGAATAGTGTATTGGATTTCAAAATTTTATATTTTTGAATATAACAAATTTATTTTTATAGTTTTAATTTTTTTTTCTCAAAATGTAATTTTCTATTAAATACTAAAAAATAGAGATAATACTACAAAAAATGAAGTAATTTAGTAGTACTAATTTGTGTCATTTACATGCTTTATTGTTTTAAAACTAGTGCCAATTGAAAGAAATTTGTATTTTTTTCGTTTTAAGAAACTTTTATCAAATGTACAAAAAATACTATTTTTCAGTTTTAGTGGTGTCTTTTTTTTTTTCTTTTTTTTTTCTTTTTTGACAGCGTTTTAGTGGTGTCTATTGTCTATATATCTGTTTTTTCCTGTTGATTATAATTGGACCTAAACTGAAAGGAAATGTGATATGATTCTGGTTTTGTTGGCTATCTCAATTTCGTTTTAGTTATTCGGTTAATTATTTTGGTTCAATTATATAAGAATGTTTCATAAAACTTGATTCTCTCAATTACGAAACAAAACAAAAGAGAGCTGAGACAGGAGATCCTCTATCCCTGTATTTTTTCATTTTATTTACTGACGTACTGATAGCCAATCTGAGGAAAGCAGAAAGAAAAAAAAAATACTTAGAAGAATGAAAATAGTACATGCAAGTTCTCCGATATCCCATATATTTTTTTTGTGGATGAAAGTTCATTTTTTTTTAAGGTAACGCCAGAAGAAGTGAATATGTTATTACATATCCTACAGCAATATGAGTCGGTTTCAGGCTAGCAGATAAATTTTGCTAAATCCTCGGTGCAATTTGGTCACACAGTGGATACACCGATTAGGAGAATAGTTCACTAGACACTGGGTATAACAAATATTGGGGGAATGGAAACATATTTGGGGATACCCGAGAGTCTTGGAGGAGCAAAAACAAAAGTTTTCAATTTTCTGTTGGAAAGACAATAAAAACGGGTAAATAGATGGACATCAAGATTACTATCAAAAGGAGGAAAAGAGGTTCTAATCAAGTCAGTGGCAACAGCAGTACCGACTTATGCTATGTCATGTTTTCGTTTACCCAAAACGATAACAACGCAACTTACCAGTATAGTTGCCAAATTCTAGTGGAGTACTGTCTTGCCTGGCATAAATTATGTAAATCTAAGGCCCAGGGGGGGGGGGGGGGGGGGGTAGATATTTTCGGAAAGCAACGCCTTTAGATCCTATATGATCATACTCAGCGTCATATAGGTGGAAGAGTATTACATCAGCTAGATCTCTGGTACAAGAAGGATTTATCAAAAGAGTTGGCTCAGGACATTCTATATCAGTTTGGAGTGACTCCTGGATTCCATCCTCACGTCCGATATCAGCAACATGCAAAAGGTATAATTTTTATCTCGAGCTGACGGTTAATCAACTGATTGACCTTATAACATCAACATGGAATGTCCCACTAATTAAAAAATTAATTGTTCCGGAAGACATACTGCTTATTACGGGGATACCTACTACTAAGGAACATGGACCGGACCTTCTCAACTGGGGATTTACAAACACCGGACAATATACAGTTAAGTCTGGATACACGACTGCACAGTTATTATCTGAGACAACTGATAACTCACGTGTTTATGGACCAGATGTGTGTAAGCTACATGAACAGGTCTGAAAAGTTAAATGCCCACCAAAAATGAAGCATTTTATGTAGCAAATAATTTTGGGTTGTATAGCGGTAATGCATCAATTACGCAGTAGGGGCATCAACTATGATCCACAATGTACTAGATGTGGTGCAGAGAGGGTAACTATTAATCATACACTATTTGAATGCCTTCCAGCTCTCCAAGTCTGGGCACTCTCGCTGATTCCCACTCCACCGCAACGATTTCCGACGGATGCTTTATACTCTAATATAGCACATTTACTCTGGAATTTGCCAAACGATGATGATATGACGATTTATTCTTGGCTATTGTGGTAAATTTGGAAGATGCAAAAAGACAAGGTCTTCTCAAATATCACTCGAGATCCCCGGTAGGTAGTCCGATTAGCAATAGCATAGATAAAGGCATGGGAGATGGCTCAGGTGGATGATCTACTGGTTAACATAGCTTAAAGTATTCAAGCTACATCAGCTATAAGTTATGGATTAATTTGTCTTGACGGATTATGGAAACAGTCAGACAAAAATGCAGGAATTGGATGGTTTTTTTCAAGGAGTTGGAACAATGGGTACTTTAATGGGTGCGAAAAACGTCAGACAAAGTTTATCAGCATTGCATTCGGAACTAGAAGCATTCATATGGGCAATGCACTGTATGATTGACGAAGGGAGACTAATGGTAACTTTTGCTACAGACTGTTCCGAGCTGGTGAAGATGGTGTCTAATCCAGCAGAATGGCCAGCTTTCTCATTACATCTATAGGAATACGAGCGGAGTAAACATGAGTTTGAGTTTTGCTCTGTATCATACATTCCACGCGCACATAACACGAAGGGAGATAAGTTAACACAAAGTGCTTCAACCTACCTCTATCGTCTACACTATGTAAACTCATTTCTACCGGCTTGGATATCCAATCCGTTCTAAGAAATTGAGGCTGTTGTCAAACAAAAAAAAGAAACAAAACAAAAGAGAACTTTATGAAATAAAAAATATGAAACTTTGTAGCTCAATTTGTTCTTATGCAAAACACTTGATAATG